TAATAATAATAATAATAATAATAATAATAATAATAATAATAATAATATAGGAAATACTAATGCTCTGATGGTCATTTTGAAAAATCCTTTCTTAGTGAGCCCCTAGAAGCCAAGAGGAACATAGGTGCCAAATTTCAAGTGTGTAGGCTTGACTGTTCTGGAGATTTTGTGATGATGCGCGAGTGGCATTTCGCTTATATCTAGATAACAATATTTTAATTTCTTAATGCTTGATGGTCCTATGAAGGAGGACGGGTTTTCCGTGCCTAACGGCCTCCTTTCAAGCCTTAGCAAATGTTTTAACCAATTCTGGTGACGCAAGCCGGTGTGGGATCAGAGGGAGAGCGGGCACCGTTGCAAACAAGCCGCGGCAAAAATGGGCCTCAGATCTCCCGTCTGCGGCAGAAGGGCAGTTCCCTGCTGCCTTCCGTTCTCTTTCATCTTGAGTTTGCCCCAGTGCCCCAGTAACCCACACAGTCGGCGGGAAGGAGGGAGCCCTTCTCGGTCCTGGGAACGAGAGGAATGATGTCAGCTGGCAAGTCGGCAAGCAGAAACACACAGCAAGGCTGACTTGCTCGGGATGGCAGCAAAGTAGGTCACTTTGGCCAAAGGAGCTTAGCTGGCAGGGCGGACTCTGGGCTTGACACAGAAGCAGGAAGAGAGCTGCCCAAAATAAATAAATAATAGGGGGGGTGCCTTTTCTTTCTCTTTTTTGTTTCTTCTCATTCTTCCTTTACTTTCTTCTTTTTTTTCCCATTCTTCCTTTTCTTTTTTCTTTCTTTTTTCCTTCTACTTTCTTTCTTCCTTTCGCTCATTCTTCCTTTCTTCCTTATTCTTCCTTTTCTCATCCTTCCCTTTCTCTTTGTTTCTTTTTTATTCTTCCTTTTCTTTCTTGTTTTTTTCTTTTTTCCCATTCTTCCTTTTCTTTTTTCTTTTTTCCTTCTACTTTCTTTCTTCCTTTCGTTCATTCTTCCTTCCTTCCTTATTCTTCCTTTTCTTATCCTTCCCTTTCTCTTTGCTTTTTATTCTTCCTTTTCTTTCTTTCTTTCTTTCTTTCTTTCTTTCTTTCTTTCTTTCTTTCTTTCTTTCTTTCTTTCTTTCTTTCTTTCTTTCTTCTTTCTCTTCCTTATTCTTCCTTTTCTCATCCTTCCCTTTCTCTTTGCTTCTTTTTATTCTTCCTTTTCTTCTTTCTTTCTTCTTTCTCTTCCTTATCCTTCCTTTTCTCATCCTTCTCTTTCTCTTTGTTTCTTTTTTATTCTTCCTTTTCTTTCTTTCTTTCTTTCTTTCTTTCTTTCTTTCTTTCTTTCTTT